GTCAAAAGGCAGGCACTTTCCCAATTTTAAAACAGAAGGTGTAACCTTGTGTAATGTGAGTCTAGATTTTGATTGTAGGGATGATGAAATCAAATCCCTCCTTAATCCTTACTGGGAAACATTGAGGTGAATTAGCCTGCCTGCTTTTGCTAACTTGTTAAAATCCTTTTGAAAAAGAAATGTGTTTTAGTGTCATCAAAAATATCTCCCTACTTTACCCCAGAGTCTAAGAGAGCACTGGTCCACTGTGCAGAGTGGCCTCAATGCAATGAAAAATGAAAGAAGAAAGAAAATAGGTAAAACCAAATACATTATTTTACTGGAAAAAACACAGTGCTTTCCGATATGCAACTCTTTTCCAGCACTGCCATTTTTAAGCTAGATGCTTAGTCATTATTAATGACAGTATATTTCATTAAAGCTGCTATATTTGGGAATAACTGGAAATGAAACTTGCTTTTTTTCCCCCACTTAAGGTTAGTTAAACTAATATATAGCTGTCTGTGTGCATTGCAGTCACTATGCATGTACCAGTTAGAGTATTTTTGGAACAAGTGAGGAAGTTTATTTCAGTTATTTCATTTATAGCAAAGTATTAGCTTGAACTTGAGAAGAGCTCTCTGTTCACGTCATTCAGCTGTGCTGTGCAGTGGTTGCAGGCTCTTGATACTACCGCTACTTTACAAAAATACTTGGCACAAGCTCGTAAAATCACTGAGACTTTTTTTCTCTCCCCCCCGCCCCCCCCCAACCCTCCTTAATTTTCTTCCTCGGTAATGTGTCTGTACATCCCCCACTTGTGCACGCATATATCTTTAAGTTTTAATTAATTTATTAAAAATAGCTGAAGTATTTAAGGAGGAGCACCTTATAAATAATAAAGAAGAACATCTTGTTCATTCTTGCCATTACTTGGATAGAGGCAAGCAGCTGGTATGACGGTGAGATTTTCCTGATGTGATTATACTGAGTTCCAGGGCAGGACCTTTCATCAGTTGGTGTGAAGTACCTAAACAGGTGGAGATTAAGTAGAAAAGCCTATTTTATTAGTAGGTAAACTAATAAAAGTAAGCTTGTGTGAAGCAATGGGAGCAGAAAGTGATGTTTCCAAGATGGACCAAAATAATTCTGTAGAAATTCTGCCTCCATAAATTCCAGGCTTTTCTGTTGCTGGGGTCTGCATTCATCCCACCTAAATTCAGGCACTTGTCGGATTCAATCAAAGTGAAAGGTGGCCAGATTCATCTTTTGGATGTGCATCTTGGCCTTGCCCGCACAGGAGACCTTCCCTTAAACATCTCAATTAAATTTCAGTGGGATGAGCATTGGCCAAAGAGTATCACCCAGCAAATCCTCAAATCAGTTTTACTCTTCCACAGTCACTCTGGGAATTTGCCTTTTCAGGTGAGGTTCTTCTCCATATGGGGAGGGAAGGTCTGAAACCCTTTCACAGCTTTGGGACTTATAGTGGACTTTAGAAACTCTATTTCCTTGATCCTAGTGCCCACAAAGCCTCAAGTCTATCCCTAGTTGCAATCACTAAATCAGAAATACCTGGTGTTACTGGCAGGGAGAGTGCATATATCATCAACTTGCTCTTTTTTATAACTGCTTGATCACTTTGCTGTGCTTCAGGGAAGCTACGTGAGAAAGCTTTTGTGCTCATTTGTGAGTAACAGCAGGGATAAATGGTGTTTCTCTAGTTTGTCAATTATTTGTTCTTTTCTTTCCATCCACTGTTTGAGTTCTTGATCTTGATGAAGGTATTATTTAATTCCTGCATTTCTGAGCCCTTAACCTTGGACAGATATATAATAGGCTTGTATTTAGACACTACTGGGGTGCTTTAAGCAAGCTGTTTCTCTTTGAAACTAAGAGTGACTAAGCCTGGGAAGTTCTCTATTCTTCTTCATCACCTCCTGGTAGTTAATAGACTTCACAAGGGATCTCAAGACACTCTGATAAGCCTTTGAAGTTGTTACCTACTAAGGTTTTGCTCTTTCTGAGTGCTGAACATTGAATTACTGACTGCTGTTAGAAGCAATGAGAAAAGATTCACAAAACCAACAGAGCCTTGCCTATAATTTCTGCAGAAAAAGAGCTGAATTTAATGGATAAATTGTGTTGCTGGGGAGATTTTGTTTCTGTTCCCTCCTCTGTCACCAGTTTGCCTTGTGATTTGTGGTAGCATTTTCAGTTATGCCCAGTCACATGAGATCAAAACCCATGAGTCAGACTCCACCCAAATCATGAGCCAGGCTTCCAGATCCAGGAGCTTTGAACAGAGATCATACCGTACTTTTTCTTTAGTTTATCTTTTGTTTCTGGAATTTCCTCTGTCTATTCCCAATGTGTCTCTAGCGATTAATGTTTCCCACTCTTTTGAAAGTGTTGGGAAGATATTTTGACCATTTGGGGCTGCTGGAGGCCTCGTTTGACCTACAGAATTTTATTTTTCATCTCCAAGTGAATCTCGTTTATTGCAGACTTCACATCTTTCTCCTGTCCCCAGTGACTTCTGTCTTGCTTAGCCTCATACAACTCATCACTTCTGTTTCTTCCTTGCCGTTCAGCTGCTCTGTCCCCGCTTTTGTCCTCTCTGGTCTTGAGAGAGCTTTTCACCATTGCCTTGCAGGACAGAGAACGTGTAAAAAGATGCAGATCTGGGTAACCCTTAAGCTTTGTATGAGAATATATAATTGAGGAGAGCAGGGAAATGGTCTCCCTGACTCTCTCTCCTGAAAAAGATGAAACTGTTACTTGCAGCACAAGAAGTGGGTGATGAGGACAGGCAGGAGATTGCCTCCACGCAGGATGGAGATCTGTAGGAGGGCTGGAGCTTTGCATGTTATTGTGAGACAAGACCCCTTTGCTCGCAAGGTGTTTGCAGGACTTGGCAAACCAGGGTTTTACACTCGCTTTGAAGGGAGTCAGGTGAAGAGTGAATCAGACTCAATGAATTAATAAGCCAAAGTAAATCCAGAGAAGGTAGGATGAGAATCAGCCCTTCTGTCTGCACTCTTTTGCCCTCTAATTCAGTCAATCTGTTTTTCTTCAAATTTTAGGTTTGTAATATATTGTGTGTAGACTCAGTTAGCCAACTCCATTATGAAGGATATGATTATGACTGAGATGGTCAAAAAGCCAAGGGGAAATTTGGTGTCGTATCTCTGTTTTCTTCTATAGCACTTGACTCTTTCCAGGAAGGGTAAGAAGTTAAACGTTCTTGGCAATGGTTTAACAAGCCAAAGCCAAATCAACGAATGTCACTTTACAGTAATTATTGCATGTAATACAGTGGTGCCTGGTATTCCCATGGCAACATTGTTGTTGTTTTGCCATGAAATTTGTGGAACAGAGCTAACTATTTAATAAATAAAATTTTTCAGAACTAGGCTACTCACACCTCAGGCAGATGGGAAAATGCATTTTCTCTTGCTCATCCTCATGCCATACCACTCTTTCACCCACATTGTTTGCTGATTCTTGCATATGCCATGTGCCAGGCATATTGCTGATCCGTAACTTCAGACAAACCGTACCCCCATATCCAAATACCTCTAAAGTCTGAGTGTTTGAAACCAAATCTGAACCCATAGAAAACCTCTTTACATAGCCCTAAACTTTACGACGGGTATCTCCAAGCCTTGAATCCACACTCTCTCCATGTTTTGGTGGATAGGAATCGTGGAATTTGTTCATAAACCCAGAATCATCAAAAGCTGCGTTCGATACATGAGAAAGATTCACGAGGCTTACCAGAAAATCTTTCAGCTAAACATCTCACATGCAAGGCCTGAGTTTGTAGCAACTGGACACATCTCAAAATGTTTCTAGTTGTGCTGTGAATGCTTCACAGAACTGCGATGATTAGAAGTGATTCCTTCGTTAAGACAGATAAATGCTACCTCACATCTTGAATATCAATAAGATAAAATTTATGAGAGCAAACAGAGTAATGTAACGTTTTCTCCAAATGAAAAGGGCATGTATTTGCTTAGCTCTTTCATCAGCCATTTTCGGTCACACACTGTGTGCTTAAAATACAGTTATGCAACCCATGTGGGTCAACAGCGGAAGGTTGGTTGCTTCACCAGGATTATAAGAATCTTTTAAACACAATGGTACCACAAATTAAAATGGAAATCTATCAAAACCATTATCGTCCTGAAAGCTTTGGCCACAAGCGTAATTATTGTAGAAGGATGTTGTCCTTGGACACAGCTTTGGCTCAGTTCAGCTAGTGTTATTTGTATCCCTCCATGGCTCAAAGTCAGAATTTGCATGGCTAAGGACCATAAATTTTTAGAGGAAAAAATAGGCTCTTTCCTCAATGCTAACACTAGCAGTTTTTTTATTGTTTTGTAGTGGTTTGTAGGCAACTCATTAGGTACTAGAGATAGGAACAGACTGAATGCAGTGGCTGAAATCTGCCTTGAACCTTGGAAGGATTCGGATGGAGATTTCTGTCTGGATCTGGTCGTTTGTGTCAGAGGCTGTTGCTTTAGTGGATATGAACATGAAGGAGTGAATGTCTGGAGTGCTTGGGTTTAAATCTAGATCTGAAAGTCCATATTTTGGATAGTAAAACAGTGAAGCAGATCTTGAGCTGATATAAGCTGCACTCCACAGACTTAAATAGAGCAGAAAACCTGTCCTGAGTTCTCAAGCATGTCCATGAAGCAGGCAGTCCTGTAGGGATGAAAATAATTGAAAGAATATACAATCTCCTGGATGTTGCTTGCCATCAGCAAGGGAAACACCTCCTTTACCCAGAGCTGCCCTCAGGAGAGGCACCAGTTTGCTTTCTCAAGCTCCTGATGAAGGCTGAATCCTGGAGTAACTCCATTCTTGTGTTGATGATAAACTATATTAAATAACCGGCACTGCTGGTTATTTTTAAACTGGCTATTTTTCTTTCAACATCCAATTTTCCATCTTGAGGGAGGTAAGTGACTAACAAGTCTGAAATCTATTTTTCCTCTCTTTCCATCCCTCAGGCTGGTATAGATGGAGAAAGCATTGGGAACTGCCCGTTCTCCCAGCGTCTCTTCATGATCCTGTGGCTCAAAGGAGTTGTGTTCAACGTCACCACTGTTGACCTGAAAAGGTAAAAATTGTTCACTTTAATTGAAAATAGTTATATGATCTAGTGTTTGCCCTACTGAAAGGCCCAACCAAGTTCAATCAGATTTGTATCTAGCCTAGAAAGTCTGTGGTGCACAACAAAATAGTTGGGATTCAGGTTTGGTTTTCTTTTTTTTTTTCACTTGTGGAATGTTTTTATATTAAACAGGGTACTTGGGGTAGTTTCAAAGTCTTCTAACCACAAACTACAGGAAAAAAAAAGAAGGGCAAACTGATTTTGTAGGAACTATAAATATCTGTGAAACTACCTGACCATAAAGATTAGCGATTTCATTACTTTTTCTCTCTCTGCAGAAAGCCAGCTGACCTACACAATCTGGCTCCTGGGACCCACCCACCTTTCTTGACTTTTAATGGAGAAGTCAAGACAGATGTTAACAAGATTGAGGAATTCTTGGAAGAGACTCTTGCACCTCCAAAGTAAGAACTTGGGATTTTTTCAGTCAATATTCCATTTCCTAGGAATGAAAGATGTCCTAAGAGAAGTTCCTAAAAAGCACTCCCTCCTACAATCTTTACTTACAGGAGTAATATTTATTTATGAAACTTGCTGGCTTCAGTGAGATGACTTCCATGTGTGAAGGTTACTTGTATGACTAATAACTGCAGAATGTTTTCTCTGTACACATTTCAGGATGCCCTTGTATGCAGAATTAAGGAGACCAATTCTAGAAAAATTTTGTAGGGGTCTGGTGTCCACATTTTACAAAGCTAAAAATAACTTGGAATAGATGCCGAGAATTGCCACACAAAATATCTGTGCCAGGAAAAGCATTTTACAGTGAAAAACTGGAGGTTTCTGAGCTGTGTGGTGTATTAGAAAGGTTGGAAGGGGAACTGATTACAGAGTATGAGAGGCTCTGGAGGCAGAAAAGTGCTCATTATTCTAGTCAAGAAATGACAAGAGCCCATGACTGGAAGTTATAACCAAACTAATTCAGATCAGAAATAAGGCACAGATTTTTTGAGTATGAATGATTAACCATTGGAACAAGCTACCAAGGAAAGTTTTAGATTTACCAGATATGCCTTAGTTAGTCAAACATTTTGGACTTAATACAAGGATAATGGGGGAAAAAAAATTGTTGGCTTGTGATTTGGACCTTAAAATCTATGAATCAATGAAAATTGGCTTGGTTCCTTATGGAGTGTTTTACCTCCAAGTGAATCAGCAGCTATAGGCCAGTCCTGAGGCAAGAGATCAGATATTTAAATTTTCTATACTGTGGTCCAAGACCACTGAAGTCAGTAGGAGTCGTTAGTTTGTGTTGGTCTTTCAAATCGATATATTCTTTTACACCAGATGTCTATAAAAAACAATTCAGAGACTGAAAACTTTATGTTCCTTTACCTGGGTAATACGAACATGCCTTGCTATTACATCCTGGAGCACATTTTCAGTGTAGGGAATTAGACATGACTGCCATTCATAATAGAGCGAGCTGGCTGCCAAACTCCTCTGCACCTTTCTGGAAAGCTATGCTTCCTTCTGATTTAAGGCCACTGTATCTTGGATCGTGGTAACATAAAGCACCAGTGCATTACCTTTGTCATGAATCCATCCCTGTGTAAGTATCCAAACGCCTGCCTTGACAGACACAGCTATTATTAAGAAGGACTTGCCAAGCTGTTGTTTTGAGATAAATGACAGCGTTAATTGCAGTTCCTTGTACAGGGCTTTTTTCTTTGTTCTTGTAAATTGTATTTGTAATCATCACTATGTTGCTGGTAACAAGATGTTACTCTCCACACTGCTTCTCCCTTTTCAGGTACCCCAAGCTGGCTGCTAAGCACCGGGAATCAAACACTGCTGGAATTGATATCTTTTCCAAATTTTCCGCATACATCAAAAATACCAAGCAGCAGGACAATGCTGGTGAGTAGGATCGTTACCAAATGTGCTAGGGAGTTTGTGTGCTTAGAAGTGGAATAATTTTGCCATTCTCCCATCATTTTATTTTAAACTCTGTTCATATGACATCAGGTACTGTTGCTGATCAGTTCGAGATGGTTGGTTCAGTGGACTCAGTACACATGTCTACAGTTGAATTAACTACATCTATACTAGTATACTAGTAAAACAGGCCACAGAGTGTTTAGCAGCCCCTTTACCAACTGTCAGGACATGGCTCCTGTCCATACAGCCCAGCTTCCTCTCCAGAACAGGATCCCATACTGCTTACTAGAAGTGGCTGGTGGCCCATGCTACCTTCTTTGCTCTGCCCAGGCACTGCTTAGAGGACTGTGTGTTGACTGGACCCAAAACCATGCTAGTACTAAAAATTTAGCAGTGAATGACTGGGTGAGAGCAACTTATGCCCTGACCCTTCGTAATTTGTTAGATGTGGTCATCAGACTCTTGGCCCGCTTATCTCATGATCATGTTATGCTGTTATACCTAATTTGCTCATATAAACTGAGTTATATCAAGACATTAAACATAAAGTAATTAAATGAAAGAAGTGACTTTAAGAAATGTAATTGCACTCTGTAAGCTCCAGACTTTCCCTCACATGTTTGTGTGTCAAAAGAAATACCCGCCCCCCAAGTTGGATGCCATGCATATTTACATGCATCCTACACTGTCTTCTTAATGAAATAGCTTTTCTTCTCCACATTCCTTTCTCCTCAGAGAGGCAAGACTTCAGCTAGTCTAAGCTGCTGTTGCTCCATGAAAGCTACTGGATTTACACTGCCATATCCCTTGAGATGATTTAGTAGAATATTTGCAGTCACTCACTGGTGTACATCTTGCCTTATATTACTAGTTTCACAGACAGAGACCTAAGGCACGTTAAACACCATGTGCTCCTATTATATAATTCAGAGAGAAACTAGATTTTTTCAGGTTCCAGCTCTGCCACAGATTTCATCTGTGTGATTATATTTCATTGCCTGGGGCTGACCCATGAGATGAAAATGGGTAAATGATGATTTATGTCAGATAACAATCTGCTCCTTAATATTTTTGTGTTGTTAACAGAAGGAAATAATTATAGTGCTTCATTTCTCAGAGATGCTAAAAAGTTATTTTTTTGTCCAATGCTAATGGGATGCTCAGCTAACCTCTGTAGGAAGTTGTAAAAGTAAGATAAATTAAGAGTTAGACTAAATAGATGTTACGGTGAAAATAAAATATCTTGGCCATTTACAAGGAATTTTTATGGTCTGTTCCGCAACTGTAAATCTTAAATTCAGCTGTGCTGCCCCTTGCATTCTAAAACAGCCACAGGTATCTGTCCACATCCCAGCGTGTTGCTTCTCAGTGACTCTGCAATATGCAAATCCCTGGACTCATAAGGGCTGGCAGCTCCAGCCAGTAATAAATGGCTGTCCTAGAGGCATCTGCATCTGGCCATAACCAGAGCTGGAATTCAAGGTCGGATATCCACCACTGTGAGATAAGGAATCTAACCCTCATGATCGGTCCTCCACATTTTTACTAGCTTCAGTGTGATTAATGGAAGTTTTCCTTAGTTCTGCCTAACAAGGTCTTGATTTAGGTACTCTTGAAAATAAAAGGAAAATGCTTCCCAATGGCAATTAAGCGCACCAAGATTATAGAGGAAAGATACGTTAAGCTGCAGGAGAGCAATAATATTTGTTCCCTGCAAACATCCTCACTCCATTTTGTTAACTGGTTCATGCTCTTGTGATATCCAGACACACTGCAATCTCTGAACATACTGATACTCAACTTTCCTCTCTGAAGTAAAGTTTCTGGCTTAATTTTCTACAGCTGGAGTGCTGCAGTGCAAGGAGAATAAAGCTGAGATGAGCAGAGTATAAGTAGTACCTATATGTTCTTTCTAACAATGGAGTAAAGTACCTGAAGACCTCAGAGTCCTTGGGACTATCAGTGCAGACTTACGCAACGCGGGAAGTAGACCTCAATTTCAGCAGAGTAGTTGACTTTCAGTTTTCAAGGGCTAAGCACAAACAGCTTTTCCCTTATCCCAGAGACATTTTACATACTTCCCTATCCAGCTCATCTGAACCTGCAGCAGTTATTCCGAAGGCTGGTTTGGATAGCAGATAATCAGTTAGTTAAAAAGTAGTTGTGTTAGATTTCTTGAGCAGTGAAAAGACTATGTGCAAAAAGGACAGCACCACTGGATGCATATTTCCCAATGAACCTATTTCTTTTTGTTTGGTATTTTTTTAAATTGCAACACCAATCAAAAAGGGATCTGGGGCTCTAGCCCTGATCTGGTACGTGTCATTTTGCAGCAGGTTCTGATGCACTGTTTTTCCTGTGTAACAGCAGCAGTAGTTGTGTATAGTTCTGTAATAATAAAAAGCATTTTATAAACTTAAAATTTATTTACTTAGGAGAATGTCCCTTTCCCTGTCTCCATATGAGCATATGAGAACAAAGATTGCTGCTCGTGGTTATCTTAAATGGTTCCTATACACCCCAGCTCTCAGATAAAGGTAACACATGTCTCATAGTCATCCTCTATACCTGCTCCTAGCTCCAGCTGACTCAAGTGCTTGGGTTAATCTGGAAAGCTGCACCAGTGACCAGGACATCAGTTGCACATGATCAAAATACACAAATAGAAAAAAACTTGTTAATAAATCCAAAATAGAATGGAGAACCCAGACTGTTACATAAAAAATAATTTTAATTTATTTTAGTTGGGAATAGGGGAGTGCTGAATACCAAGTAAGCTAAAGCACCAAACATCAGGTTGTTTAAATTATGTTCTCTTAACTTGGGAGTCAGGGAGGCGAATTCATTAATGCGTGGGATATCAGGCTGGGAGTTTGTAGCATCAGCCTATCTCTAGCTGTGAGAAGTGTGGGTTAGGTGTGATTATATATGATCATTCTTCGTAGCATAGTGGTTTAGCAGAGATCATGCGGTCTACGTAACATGAGCTCTCACTACAGCCTGTGGCTATTACATTTTTGCAGAAAAGTGCCGTGAAGTGGTTGGGGTAATTAACGAGATTTATGCAGTATGAGGATACTGGATGTGAGAATGAATGAGAACCTAATGCACACCAAAGATAAGCCCAAGCTGGTGTTCCTCCCAGAAGGGTTTACAGCCAGGGTCATGGAACAATTTCAGACTTCAAGTGGTGCCATCACTTGGCTATGTCATTGCAATGTTTCCTATCGTGAGAGAGGTGGTGAGATGGCACTGACAACAGAGTCTGTAGCCTTTAAGTAGCTAAATGATATTTTTCCCCCCCCAATAGTGGAAAAGTTACTGAAGAAAACGAGATTTGTAATTTCTTGGTTTAGTATGTGTCTGAATTTTGCATGTAAATGAATAGACACGATGATACATATGTCTGTTTGTTTCTAAGATTGTGATACCCTCTGCTGGCAAATATGTGAATATATAAAGCAAGCAGCTTTACAATCAGGGCTGAAACACCCCCATAACAAAACAGGTTTCCTTCTATCAAGACAGTTTCCTCTTACAAATGCAACATCGTCACAAGTGAAGTGTTTCATAGTAACCTATCGATTTTGACAAAGTTTTCATGGAAAAAATCATGTTTTTTCTGGATGAGTTAAAATTACTTTGAAGTAAAATGCTTTAACGTTACAGAGAAAAATGGTACTTTTTTTCTGGATTCATGCAGTACTTCATTAGCCACACACCGTTATGTTTCATGCCTGGCACAGAAACAGGTGATAACCTTCTCCTGTAAGTCTGTATGGCAATATGTTATTGATCATGATTCATTTACTTACCAAAGGTATTTGGCAGCTAGGCTGCCCTGATTTAATAGTTCCCTGAATTTCTGATTCTTTTTTTCTGTCTTTGTTTTCCTAACTTTTCTGTCTTATAATATAAAAACGTTGAAAGGTTTGGAATGGGCTGGTGAGGGCTGTAAGCCCAGAAGCAAACATGCTCATGCCATATCAAAGTCCCACCACTTTTAAGCGTCTTGAAAGGGAAGGAATTGATTCCAGATTCTCAGGATGTGGCAAGCTGTGTTTAAAGAAAGTGTGTGCATTTATTATTTCAAGTCAGTTCAATTACAACGGGCTTGATTCCTTCCACCCCCCGTGTCACTCGATAATTTTATAACAGGCCTCTCTGAAGGAGTCATCTCCTCATCGTGGGATTAGATCCGTGCCGCCCTTCGGTAACACAACTGGGTTCTTCAGTTCTCCAGCCATTGCCGCCAGGCTTCACCGCTTGCTCTTGAAATGGCAAGTGCTTGTTCACACAAGAAGAGGAGTCTTTGGGAGAGTGTAGTGGCAGTAGTCTTAAAAATTATTCCCTGGATGCTCTTGCTCAAGTTTTCATGGCCAATTTGAGAGGTTTTGGTTGCTCAGTGATTGTTTAATAGCTAGAAGGAGATCTTGTCTGAGCACAGGAAAGTAAACCGAGATCTTGTGAGTTTACTTTGGTTCCTTTGGTTGATGCTGAGCAAGTCACTCAAGCTCTGTACAGTAGCCAGGGTAGCAACAATTTACGTATTCATTGCAGGAGGATGAAATTTAATTAATTGGAATGCTGTGTACATATTCGGTATCCTGCTTGTTATTTTTTCTTGCGAGACTGTATACTGCAAACCAAGGGGACAACTTATAGTAACCACCCATTAACTGTCCCGCCTAAAATTGTAAGTTCTTTGGCTCATAGAATGAGCCCTTTGATTTCATTTATGAGTTTAAAAAGTTGTTCTTGAATTGAGTTCTTAGGGGGCACCAGCTCTAGTGTGGGTGGGCGCATTCATTAGTGGTACGGAAGGATATTTCACTGTACGGCTCTTCAGAAGGCACTGAGCCGGGAGACCACCAACATGATTTCATGCAGAGGAATTTCCAGCCGTCTGACCAGAGGACTCCGCTTGTCTGGTTTGGATTTACATCAAGAGGCCAAAAATAAAAGCGCATTTAAATCAT